CAAAAGTTACACAATGCATTTTAATAATAATAATGCACTTTAATAATAATAATAATAATAATGTATCAGTTTTATATAGCCCTTTTCTTGACACTCAAAGACGCTTTACAGAGTATTATTCATTCACTTCATACCCGGCAGTGGTAAACTATTATTGGAGCCACAGCTGCTTAAGATAAGAAAAACAACAAAAACAAATCTTTGCACTTAAAATAAGAAACAAAAGCTAATGTTGCTTCAATTTAGAAAAACACATTCAATCCATTGGTTCATCCTTTTACTTGTCAAGTTGAATAAAGTAAAGTGTTCTTAATTTAAGTCATTTTAACTTACTTAGATATTGTTTTTTGCAGCGTAAAGGCCCTGTCCCTGATTTTTCACATTCTTTTGAGCAATATTTATCTTGGCCCAGTACAGATATATTATATAAACACACCTTGTGGTGGTCAAAATAAATTATCTCTGTGCTACCTGCATTTAATTAGAAAGCATTTCACTGTCCGACAATCAGGAAGTGCACATTAGCATGATAGTTAGTTTTACCATCATGGGCAAACTCTGTTCTGGTTTGAGAGTAGTGACAAGTGCTAAACTCATTGCTGTGAATGATTAGGATGCTCTGAGTGCACAAGGTAAGTGAGGAACAACTCTGGATCACTGCAAACCGTTTGAAATGAACTAGTTCTGTTTTTCACATTATTAAGAGAGCAAAACTCAGGTAGGCCAACAGTGCCTTTAACTTGGATCCCAAGAAAGAAAACAAGTAAGATTTCCTGCTAGCGGTCACATAACTAGTCATATAAAAGTGGTACTAAAGTTGTTTTGGTGAGTATGGATAATAAAGATAGGCAGGTCTTAGCGTATTAAAATAGTGGTTTGAATTAGCCCCGGAAAAACCTTTGAAAGTTGTTATTGTGCATGAAGGACATCTGTATTTGTACTCTGAGAAGTAGAGATTCCTTCATATTGAGAGGCCATTGAGCAAAGAGAATGTGTGGGCTACCACCAACTAGTCCCCAGTGGTAAGAATAATACTGATATTTATTCCACACAGATATATTTATTCTACTTCAGATATTATAATGTGTACTTTTTCATTCCCAAAACAGATATAACAAATGGGAGTTTTAAATGTTGTCTGCTCTCAGGATATTTCTTGATTGTTTTCACTATTCTATAAAAAAGTACTTATTTTTTTGTTTGTTTATGAAGTCAGTACAGTAGCTTAGGTGGTGAATCTTCATCTTAAAAACTAAAAATAAGTGTGGCAGTTGAAATCCAGCTATTGACAGTTCATACAGTTGTCATGCCAGTTTGAGTGTGGTGTGTGTCAGTCCACTAGGGATGTAACAATAACCAAAATATTGTAATTTTTATTATCCAAGGTCTCACAATAATTTCGTGGACCATCACAATATATCGAACTACAAGTCTCTTTGCTTAAATTAATAGTCATGGTGCAGAAATGGCTAAAAAAAAAAAAACAGAACTACTTAAACCATGATCCTTTGCTTCGTTTCAGTAGCCAGGCTGGCATCATCTAGTGCCTTCGCTCAATTTCATTTCTCTCCAGCAACTAGGTCAGGAATCAAAATACACTAGACAGTTCGCAAAAACCCTGGAAGTGCAAGTTCGAACACCAGCCAATCAGTGAAGAGTCATATATTCAGTGTTGTCAGTGATTCCCAAGATTGAGGATTTAAAGCCAGAATAAAGAGAATGTCTGGTGAATTTTATCAAGGGAAAAGACGTTATTGCCCTTCTCCCTACAGGATTTGGGAAAAGCTTAATATACCAGTTAGCCCCGTTAGTGGCACATTAAATACGTGACTACCAAATAGCAGCGATTGGTTAAATGATACCAATCGCTGCCAATCGGTACCCGCCTACCATCAAGCAAACGAATCCTAACACTGCGCCTGATTAATCAGGCTACCGTTTCAGCACATACTACATGATGAAATAACTGTTATTAAGCGCTTTTAAATCATAGTTATTCGGATGATGATAATACTAAAAGTAAAAAGTATTATTCACAGTTTTGTTAGTCTCCACAAAATATTGCAATAAATACTGTACCGTGAGATGCATTTCATGAAAATATCGTACAGAGAGATTTAGATATTGCTACATCTCTACAGTCAGCCTCCTGGGCAGTTGAGGGTGTGGATCAGCAGAGTACGTCAGCCCCCTAATCTAACTGAAATACAACTTATTTGTTCAATAGCTAGAAGGTTCCAGGTTCAACTCCATGACTGCCCCGACCTTTCTGTGAGGAGTTTGTATGTTTCTCCCCGTGTCTGGGTTAGGGTTTCTTCCAGGCACTCTGGTTTCCCCCATCAACCCAAAATATGCAGAATCAAAGCCAATTGACGTTGCAGTGACACAACTCTGGGGGTGATCTACTGTATCTCTATTGGTGGAATGTTCAGCAGTTACCATGGTGACACAACGCACACATTAGAAAGATTACTCCCTAAAAAGTTTTAAGACTTAACTCAAGGAAAAAATACAAAACGGATTTAATCAGCACACTTTCAGGAGCCTGTGATCAATAAAAGCGTTCATGGTCCTGTGACTGTAATGTTATTTGAGAGGGACTTGTTAACATCACAAATCAGCCCAGTGTTGCGGTTCCAACTAAATCAACTCTTTCTGATCATATTATGTTAAAATAAACCTCAGATTAGGGCTAACTTGAGTAACAGAGCTTCAGACAGAGCAGTGCCTACATTTAGCCTCACATCGCCAGGGAATATTGATGACTTTAGCAGCAGAGTATCAATATCACCCACCTCTAAACACCTCAGTTCGTACCTGCGCCCCTTTGATCCCTTCACCTTTCTGTGACTGGACCGCCATAAAAGCCCTTCAGATTTTCCAGCTCTGATGCTTTGACGCACAGACAGTAAATGCTCTGTACTTCCTGGCAGACTCATTAGCAACAGAATGAAATATCGCCTGGCCTGACCCGTGCTCACCCCCCTTCCCTCTGCTTACACTACAAAATAAACTGCACTCCCCAACACTATATTCCGGGCTTATTGTTCAAAGTTGGCCCATTTCGATACACTTAGGCCTTGAAGATCTTTCCATCGGTGGCTATGCTAGTTTAGTTTGCAACGTTCTCCATTAAATTAAACTGTTTTCCTGAATAAGAAGTTGTTAAAATGCAGTGCAGTTTCCAGAGTGGATGCGTTGCCATATCGCTGAAAGTAATAGGTTTTGAGCTCATGATGTAATTCTAAAGGGGTCTAGTAGTTTAAAAATGAAAACTGGACTCAAACTGAAATTAACTTGATTGGTGAGAAAATACAAAACGCCAGAAATACTTGAACCATTCCACGGTGTTTCCATTTCATCCTCGAAGTCATTCTGTAAAAAGAAAGAATGTTTTGTAATTGAACCCTAAAACCCAATTTAAAATGTGCATTACGTAGACTAACTTCTGGTGGTGGGCTCCGTCACCTGTCGACATGGACGGGCTATTGTTTCTTTGTTTTTGCGTGGAATGTTCCACAGTATGACTTATCAATCTTGCATCTATTCAGTTACAAGTGTTTTATTGCTTTATTGCATAGCTTGAAAGAGATGGATTCTTGGAGTGAGTGGGTTCACCTCTCCATAGATCTGTTTGTCTCCATGGAAACGGAGTATTTAAAGGGCCCATCTCATGCAAAATCAACTTTTCAGAGCTTTCTACCTTCTAAGAGTGATGTGTGGGCCTTGTATATGTCGCTGAAGTGTTTTTTTAGATTGATTCAGTGTTTTTTTTAACAAATTGCAGCGTATTTCTGCCACTCTCCCACGTGACAAGGAACTAATGCCTGCTACAACGATGACGTGGCCAGCTAGACCTATGACGCATTTGACATAGCAGAAGGCGCTTCGATACCATGTGAAAAGAGTTATTTTGTATGAGATGGGCCCTTTAAAGCAGATCTGGGCATTGTCCAGCTGCCAGGCCACATACGACTCTTTGGTTGACTGATCGGTCCTTTTAAGCTCATTTGGAATTACAAAATAAACATATTTTACAATTTTACCTCATGCATGGACTAAACCTGCATTGTGTTTAATTTAGAGGTGTTTTTTAATGACATTATTTGTAAGAAACCTCACTTTTTCGTTGCTGAGTCATAACAAACTCTTACCAGTCTTTCCAGCTTGTCAAAAACAATGCTATTTACTGCTTTTTATAAAGAAATACAACTATTATTTTGCAGAATTGAGTTAAGCATCTTGGCCCGGTCCTCCTCAGTATGTTCTGTCTCTCCGTGGAAAAAATAATTGCCCATCCCTGATTTAAAGCTACTATTTGCAATTAAATTGGCTGGCCCGACCCTGTTGTATTCTTACATATCACCAATAGATGCTATCTACATTAGTGCTGTTTGATGGTGTGCCAGCTTTGGCCTGACAAGAAGAACAGAAAACACACATGAGCCTGCTGGTAGCTTTAATTCCATACTGTGGAAGAAACAGGAATAGCAAAAACAAGTGGGTTTCCCCTGAAAAAGCTACATACTCCATCTTTAAAGTCCTCCTTCCTTCGTTGGACTTTCCCTGACAATTTCCAATGCTTTACAACAAATTCTCTGTTTCTTTCTGTGGCCACTCAAACTGACTCCAGAGATTTATCCAAGTGATCAAAGTAATAGGCTAGTGATTTACAGCATATGCCTAAACAAGGATTTTTCCAGACATGCATTACTTTAATTTATAAAACATGAAACCTGATATGTCTCCTCTCCTTTAATTCAAAGTTGATAAAGTGCAGTGCATTTTCCAGAATGGGTGCATTGCCATATCTCTGTTACTAATTGTACACAGTTTAAGTTGAAAAGGGAGTGGACATTTGGGATATATAGCAGGAACAGCCTCTCCTGCCAAAATGAAACCCTTTAAAGTCTATAGTGTTCTCTTTGTGCATGCTGTTTAGTATGCATTCCCCATGACTCACTCCCATTGTTATTGTGTGTCTCTTTTTCGCCCCACAGCGCCCCCTGGAGAAGCCTGACGGACTGGACGTGTCAGACCAGAGCAAGGAGCACCCCCAGCATCTGTGTGAGAAGTGCAAGGTCCTGGGCTACTACTGCCGCCGCGTGCAATAACTGTCCACAGTACGCAAAGAGAAGGAGAGAAGCCGCCGGATCCAAGATGGAGTAACCAGGATCCAAAACGGCGTCCGTTCTTCATGACATCTTCACTCGCGTCAACTCCAGAAGCCTTAAATCTATGGCAGACTGTTGCTCCCTTATTCGTAGCAAGTTTTTGTCAATGTATTAATTGTGGATTTACATGGAATGATGGTGGACAACTTACAAAAAGTGCTTTCTGATTTTTAAATATACAAAGATGGTTAAGTTTTCACAATCACTCAAAAGGAGATCACTGCTTAAAATAAGTGACAAGTGGCCATCTTGGGCTAGCTAAGCTTTCAGGACGAACTTATCTACAATATTTGCTTTTTTTGGTTTGTGATTATCAGCTTGTCCCTCCTAGCCCACAGTAGATTTTAAGAGAGTACAATGAGTAGCAATGTTATCTTTCCATTGTATTCAAGAGTTTCAAGTTACATCACTTTTTGCCTTTTATGGGTGCCATTTTGAGAACTTTGGTCATTCAAAGATAGAATAGCATGTTTTGGATTGTTTATTATTATTTTACATCACTTGAAAACCCTGGATGTTACCAAAATCCAACTTGCCTTACTTCTCCCATAACACAACTACCCAAAACAACAAAAATGGTAGGCCTATTTTGCTTAAGTTCTTAATTTCTAAAAGTAAAAAAACAGTTACTCGCAATAGAACAACACAGAATGTCCCTGCAGGGCTACCATAGCAGTTTCCAAAATGGTGGCTACATGTTTACAGAATGTCATGATTAGAGTGACCAGATTTTCAAAATAAAAAACTGGGACACTCTCGGTTAGGGGTGGTAGATAATAATAAAATTGTGAAACAAGTACGTAATTAAGGAAAACTGTTTTGTACTTGGCCCATTTTTGACATGCGAGTCCCTATACTCATTTTCTTGGTCATTTTTAAGCAGCTTTTTTGTATTTTACCTAAACAAATGTCAATATACGCCCATCTTTACTGTTGGCAGGTATAAGACTGGTCAAAAATAGGGAAATTTCTTGTATAAAACTGGGACAAATCAATGGTTTTGGATAAATCTGCAAGGGTTCAAAACTGGGACTATCCCGGGTAAATAGGGACATCTGGTCACCATAGGCTAAATGTTTACAGAACGCCGTGTTAACTCACTTTGTTCTAATAATTATCCGCGTAGCTTGGCTCTGCACCCTCTTATCCACCGCCCATTAAATTCCATGTAAATGCCACAACGCGCACTACACCTATGGGAGCAATTTCTCTCTCACTTAAGCGCTCTTCGTAAAATCCAGTGACTGTGTGTGCTTTGTAAACCTACTGGCCCTGCATTAGCCATTAGCATTAGCCTTTAGCATTAGCATCGTTAGCATCACTGTCAGTATTACCTCTTTTCGGGGTTCTTTGGCTTCGTGTTTACAAAAATCTGCCTTCCATTTTGTCTATGTTACGTTATAATAATATGCCCAGGGCCTTATGATGTCTTGCCATGTAACCAGCACATCTAATCTAACTGTGAATGAACTAAGGGATACCGTGCCATATACGTCCCTTTAGCTTACATTTGGGCCTATTTATTTTGCTTTGTGTGCAATCGGAACTTGTAACTGGGACATGAAGTAATGCATTTGTATGTTGTTTTGTTAAAATCGCTTCACAGTGCCTTTATAGAGACTACTGTAGGCTCAGATGCTAAATAATCGCGCTTTTTTCCGTCCCCGAAATTGTTTTTTGTAGTCACTTATGTCAAGCTAAATATATTCAGTGTGTTTCTAATTAGTACATGTAATGATTTGTCAAAGCTACAAAATATCTAAAAGAAAAGGGCTGTCCGCAGGATTGCTTCAGCATGGGTCCAGGGACTAGAGATTGTAGTAATGCCACAATTTGATTAGCATTACGTTAGCGGGTTAGCCGTACATATGTTGGACTTTAAAATAAATTGAAAGCATGCAGGGAGAGTGGTGCCTGAAGGGTTAGTGTTTTGGGGATGACAGCAAAGTAAAGTCTGTGGAAAAAGTATTAAGGCTTGCACTCAGAGATATGTCCAAGAGGCAGGGGTGTCACCGTCCATTAGAGCCAATTTGATAAGATCATATAAAATGTCTCTAGCACTTTTGTGAAACTAATAAGCTTCACCAGCTCAGTGTAACTTGTGGAAATTTATTCATACACTTGTTGCAATTAGTGGTCAGAGAGGACTGGTGCCTATCCCAGTAGATGGGCCTAAGGCAGGGAATTGCAGTTTATATAAAAAACAAAGCAATAAACAAATAAAATCAGGGAACACTTGCCTTGCACATTGTAAACGTGTCCAGGAGCATTCACACTTGAGAGAACAGTGAAATATAATCTGATAAACCAATGCAAATGCTAACACAACCACCATGTATAATGCCAGCGCTAAGCTCTAATGAGGCTCTTGTACAAAGGCAAAACAGGCAAACTATTCTTTTAGGATTGGTATCTAAATGTGATTATTTTGGTGACACCTCTGCCATGCACTGTCTGAAGTATGTATGTTTAAACTGTGGAGGCGAGCTGTAAAGAAGGATCACTGAAAGTGACAAAGATGACATGTGAATTCAATAGAGGCCTATATTTGTAAACTGATATATCTTTAAGAGTTTTTCATACGTATGTGTCCCTCTGTATTGTTTACACACGACAATGAAGAACATAGGAAATCTATTGGTAGACATAACTCTTTATATTGTGAAGTTTTGTAAAAGTAAAATTTTATATTTGTAGCCATGCAAAAATATTTCATACAAACAATTTGTGCCTTATGAAATGTAATCAGAATACGAGTGATGCTTTTTGACCTAAGGATCAGAAGGACATCTACTGTAGACGATCTAGTGAAGTGAAAATGAGCAGCTTGGATGAGTTTAGATCTACTTGCAGATGAGATAATTTCATAAGAATGACTGTCACTTACATGGAATGTTGAATTCAAAGTGCACTGGCTGAAAAATATATTGAAACCAGTCAGTAAAACCAAGTTGAATAATTGAAGCTTAACTAAAACCAACTTTAACATCTACTCCATCAAGCCTTTGAATTAGAGTGATCTGAACTCTCTACCATGTAGCGTGTTGCAGGTTGACTATAGCCAGCGTTGCCTCATTAGCGCTGTGAGCTGGCTCTAGCCTTTTTCACATGGACACAATTTGCTGAGCTGGAGCCAGGGGCTGAGGCAGCACATCCAGCTGGCACACTGCGTCCCTCTGCGGTTCGTTGTCATGGAATATCAACAAAGATGTTATTGCTTCAACACAACATCCCGATCTGCTGTGCTCACGTTTTCTCCGTCTTCTCTGTGTTTACGCGAGGGGGGGTCGGGCCGGTCCGGATAGAGATTTGGTCACTCTGAGGAGGGGTTTTTACTGGCTGAAAATGGTACCTCTTAAGTTGGAAGGATCATTTGGTGACTTTGCATTTTGGAAAGTTGACGGGAAGGAACAGAATGTGATCATAGGCGGTCACAGTTGGGAACAATGTGTTTGCCCAGAGGGAGTTTTTTAAGTGTTTTGAAAATTCTGTTCCGTTTCATGATTGAGAAAATGGGATAATGTGTAATATGGAGAAGTGGACAGGAGTTGTCACGCAGGTTCAAGAAGCACTATGAAACTTTTCTGCTGGAGGGTTTGTCACTATCTTATCTTTCACAATCCCACAATATGGCACTAAATGTTTCTAGCATGCATTTATTCAATTACAGAGGCTAGTGCAGTTACAAAAACCTTCAAAAATATTCATTCTTACTGTGACTCGGGTCTCCTCTTTGCAGATCTGACCTGTAACTAGGATCAGTGGTGCCACTTCCATTAATACTACTTTGTGGAACATTCTAGGTAAAGCAAAAACATTTCCACAGAGACAAGCCAGAAAAGTTATATATCATACCTTTGTTTTACGCTAAAAATATGCAATTTATTTTCAAAAGTCATTGATTCTCAGGCTGTATATTGGTCTAATGATTTAATCCTTAATTTGGTGGTAAACTACTTTTGTAATCACACAAAATTGCCATGGGGCAGTCTGATTAAGAAGTGGTATCCATTCTGTGCCTCTAGCCTCTGACATCTCTCTCTCCTTGACTGGCTAACATTTCAATGGCCTACATACCGTATCTTTTGGCCATAGACACAGTAATAGTAAACACAGACATAGTAATGGTAATAGCCACAAGTCTGCAACTAATAAGAGAAATCCTTTGTGATTGCTCCTGTCTAGTTCTACAAATTACTAATAGTAGGCCTGTCACGATAACAGATTTAAATGCATGATATATTGCTACAGAGATGCAATACTGCAATAAACGATAATGTTGAAACTAATTTATGCCACGGACACAATAACAATAACGCAGTAAACAATTTTGAAATAGGCAGCATTGTTAAAAACGCCTGAACTGCAACAAATAAATAACAGATTGAACCGATAATTAGCCACAGAAGTTAGTTATTCAACCCTCTGCAGTGTAAATCTTGTTGTATTTAAAAAAAAAAAAAAATCCAGATCTCCCCAATTTGTGCACATGTTACATTTTGAATGATAACGATAAGTCAATATAGTAATTATCGTGACAGGCCTAAGTAATAGTAGCGTAGTAGTAGTAGTAGTAGTTCAAATTAGATAACCTGGGTATCTCGCAAGATTACTCCTTTAAAGTGTATCTTTCTTTGTGTGTTGACACTTAAAACAACTTGCACTGTGTAACTTTTCTCGTTGGAGGGTGCGTCAAATACTTTTCTCCATAGAGATGTCACTGCTCTGCCGGGAATGTTCCACAGTATGACATTAAACAGCTCTCACTTACATTTATTCAATTACAGGTGGTTTTATAGCTCAAAAAAACTTAGGAAAACAGACTGTGAGTGGGGTCGCCTCTCCACAGATGTGACTTATAACTTGGTCTGGTTCTTCCTCTGAAGATAGAAAGGTTTAATGCCATTCTGTGAAACTTTCGAGGTAGAGCAATAACATCTCCATGGAGAAAAATATTTGAGAGACCCCCCCACTAGAAAAGTTACACAATGCATCTTAACATCTGAACCATATTAAGGGTAAAACGTGTAAACTAACTAAGTTGTATTCTAATAATAATTGTAGGCTAAAATATGGCAGAAATTTACTAACAACTCAGTAAGAATCCAGTGTTAAAGGTAAACCAACTGCCAGTGAAAGCAGCTGAAACAGAACATTTGAATATTGAGATATTTGCTCTTAAAGTCTTGAACGACATACTTGACTTTTCTAGGACCGTTTTATATAAGCAAGATGTGTATTTCAAAATTTTAAAATGTTGTGAAAATTTTATAAAGCAATCTGCAAAAAATTTCAAGAAATATTTCCCGGAACAAGATATTTTCTGTTTTTGTATATATTTGATGGCCGTTTTGTTAGCTCTTTTAGCAACTTTCAAGCTTTTTATGTGAAGAAGGGCCGATTGGTGAAAATTTTGGAAAAAAAAAAAAAAAAAGCTGGGAGAATATTCAGAATTTTCAGAAATCTGAGGGCGTATCCTGCAGAAATATTTAAGATTTTTTACTCTTATTTTGTATAGAATATGCAAGTTACACTAAAAAGGAAATATTGTTTTCTACATAGGATATTATGAAAAAGCTGGTACATAATTAATATGCAATTATAAGCCAATGTATAGGAAGATTTATCAGTGTTGAATTGCTAACTAACTGTGCTGCCATGACAACCATACAGTCGCCTTTTATGTATCTATGACACTATTTTGAAAGTATATTTTTGCTTTTATTCTTATTTAGTGACTGATACTCACCACTGTATTAAGCACGTAAACTGTGAGATGTAGTTTGCTTCAAACGACAAGCAAATATTATAATAAAAAAATATATATGGTGTATTTTGATGTTATTAATAGTAGTTGTAGTAGCGATTGTACTATACTTTTGAAGAGAGAGTGTGACAAAGAACTGTTTTTAGAGTTTGCATGTGCATGTGTTTGGTTTTATGAAATAGTATGGAATATTATTTGGTGCAATGTAATTTAAATACAGTAGTTTGCTATAGTATATATTGTTTTAACTCTAAGAGCAACTTCTGGTTAGTTATAATCGGCCTGGTTACACCTATGGATTATATTGTAGTGTTTTTGCACCAAAATTTTCATGTCATAAAACAACAAATTTAGATTTTAAACTGTTACAGTGGAAAAAAAATGTTGAATTGTCAAAAATGTTAAATCTAACATCTGATTTTAATTCTATTTTTTCAGATTTGTTTTTCTTTTTTCCTCCACATTTTTTCACTTTTAAAAAAAAATATTTTTCCCCCCATATTTTTTATTTTTTTTTCCCCCCATATGATAATTCCTGTCTAATATAAAGTCTTTGTCATTTTTCATCAAATTGTGTGTGTTCCAATATAGCAAAAAATACAACTTCGTAATCAATTTTGCAATCAAAACAGTGACCCTAACTTCTAAAATTTTCACATTTTCAAAAAAAAAAAAAAAGTCCAATGTAATTACAATATATGCACATATGTGTATCCAGGCCCTATTTGTAGCCTACATATTTACTGAATGTATTGTTTAACACTTATGTGGTCAATTTGCGTTGTATTCTTGACTGTTATCACTTGATACTTGTAATGCGATATTGCAATAATGAACTATGTAGACTGGACAGAACACAGATGTTTTTGGAGCGAGTCGTAGTAGTATCCAAGAGAATAGGTCTGTAAATTCATGTCCACGAAACGGCATTCCAAAATGTGCCTTATTTGTTAGATGGGAGACTATTGTAGTGCTTTTAGTGCTGTTCAAATTTGACAAATAAAAAGATCATGATGAATTGCGTTGGTGTGTTTTGTTTTGTTTTCTTTTATTTTACGGAATTTTCTGGATTGACTTCTCTGGGAGGTGTATTCATTTGGGAATTATGAGTCAGATTTTTTAAGATGCAAGCCTGCTTACAGTAAGGCTGCAGTATTAACTTTTCGGTAGGGGGGGTCTGTCACCTGCTTGTTTCTATGGATAATGTCATCGCTTTGCCTGGAATGTTCCACTGTTCCACAGACAATAAACAGCTTTATCTTACATTTTATAGCTCAAAAATGTCTAGAAAAACAAGCATTGTACTGTGAGTGGGGTCAACTCTCCACAGATGTGATCTGTAACTTGGTCTGGTTTGGTCTCCATGAAGATAGAAAGGTTTAATGCCATACTGTGAAACATTCCTGACAAAGCAATAACATTTCCATAAAGAAAAGCATTTCAGGGGCCCTCCACAAGAAAAATTACACAATGCACAATAATTGATTAAACACAATCAAAATTAATTACACATGCTTTTTTCAAATTTATTTGGCTAAAAAGTTACATACAGTGGCTTTAAAGTGTGTGTTTTGATGATTCTCTTAATTTCTACTTAATTTGGTGGGATAAAACCTACCATAAATAAAAATGACAGTTTTGCACAAATCAAGAAGCAATTTGCGAAGAAAAGCTGAAAAATATGTTGAAAATTACAGCAGATAATTCAAATATACTGCGGACATCATACTAGCTAAGATAGAATTCTTTCTATCCAAAAATAAGGCACAATTTACACATAAACAAGTTCCAAGTCAGATCTGTGGAGAGGCGACCTCGGGCACAATCAGAATGCCTGTTTTTCTACGTATTTTTGAGCTATAAAACCATATAATTTAATAAATGTGAGGTAGAGCTGTTTATTTTCCTCCTGTGGAACATTCCAGGCAGAGCAATGATATATCCATAGAAACAAGCAGGTGACGAACCCCCCAACCAAAAAGTTACTTGGTGCACCTTAAAACATTGGTAACATAATTTGCTCATATTAAAAAAAAAAAAACTCTCCTCATTAAAAAAAATAACCTGTTGAACTGTATCAATGTGTTTAAGTTTATTTTATGAAATTTTCTGGATTGACTCTCAGGGAGGTGCATGTTTTTCAGTATTTTAAACACAACCAAAATGAATAAAACATGCTTTTATTTTAAAGGTCCTGGAGTTGTGCTTTGGTTCATTCACACACGTTTGAGTAACTGTTTATTCTTAGTCTGTGTACATCTCCAAAGCTCAAAATGCTCTGTTCCACCTTGTGATGTCATGTAGCAGTAGTTTTCAAGTTAACAGCTACCTTTTATCTTTTGTTCAGCAGAAATAGGCATTTCCAGGTCTAATATTATCCAAATGATTCCAGTGAAGGTGTATGGAGTTTAAAAACACAGTGGAGCACTTTGTGCATTACCATGACATCACAAGGTGGACCAGAGTGTTTTCTGTTTGAGAGAAGAAGTAAAGAACAAACTAAGAACTAAATATGCAGGATTTGTGTGTTAAACACGTGTGAATGAAACAAACATTATAACATAGATCAGAAAATGGCGTAATATGGGCCCTTTAATCTATTTGGCAAAAAAGTTACATACTGTGGCTTTAACTAAAACAATGATAACATAATTTTTCTCTTAACAAACCATGATGAAATGATGAATTGTGTTAATGGTGTTTTACTTTATTTGATGAAATTTTCTGGATTGACTCTCAGGGAGGTGTGTTCATTTGGGAATTCTGCTCAGGCCAAATAAAACACATGTGCTTTTAAATCACAGCTGGACATGGAATGATGAGTCAGGTTTGTGAAGATGCAAGCCTGCTCACAGTAAAGATGCATGTTTTTCAGTATTTTAAACACAACCAAAATAAATAAAACATGTTGTTGTGAGTCATGCATCTTGTGAGTTTTTAGCCATGTTATGATGGAATCATGTTTTGTTTCATTCACACGTTTGAGTAACCATTTATTATTAGTCTGTATACATCTCCAAAGCTCAAAATGTACCTTGTGACATCATGTAGTGGTAGTTTTCAAGTTAACACCTACCTTTTTTTGTTCAGCAGAAATGGGCAATTCCAGGTCTGATATTATCCAAATGATTCTAGTGAAGGTGTATGGAGTTTAAAAACACAGTGAAGCACTTTCTGTATTACCATGTGACATCACAAGGTGGACCAGAGTGTTTTCTATTTAAAGGGCCCATCTCATGCAAAATAACTCTTTTCACATTGTATCTTATGCATATATACGAGCACAATTTGGGTTTTGGAACATCCATTACACAACAGTTATGAAATCTTACTGATTTCTTGGAGGCAGTCACAGACCAGGGACTATGAAAGGCCGGTTATCGCTCATCCCCCCCGCCTGTCCTGAGTAAGCACAGGCTCCGCCCTCCAAACGTGATGTAGGCTCTGAGTGAGCCGCCCTTCCTCCGCCCATCTCAGGGAGGGAGGGGGAGACAGGCGTGCACCCTGAGAGTGGTAGGAATAAACTTTTTTTCATCATGGTGATATAGCGCGTTCAGCCGCATGTGTTGGACCCAGAATTGGAGGAGAACTTTGAGGTGCACAAAGCGCAAACACCATGTCGACATCAGCTGAACATTACTGATTGGTAAATTATTAATTATTAATACATAATTAGATTAACTTATTATATCGTGTACACTGCCGTGTATAACAATTAGCTTATGCTGTCACTTTTGTTTAGGTGTTCATGTGAGAATTGTCAGCCACTGTGGGGTGGAGGCGGGGCAGAGGCAGGGGAGTGGGGTGGGGGTTTGCTACGTTAAACGCGTCATAGGTGTAGCTGGCTGCGTCATCGTTGTAGCAGCTTTAGTTCGTTGTCACGTGGGAGGGTGGCACAAATACGCTGCAATTTCTTTAAAAAAACACAAATCAATCTAAAAAACACTTCGGCTACATATATAAGGACCACACATCTCTCTTAGAAGGTAGAAAGCTCTGAAAAGTTGATTTTGCATAAGATGGGCCCTTTAAGAGAAGAACTAAAGAACTAACTGAGATTTAAATATGCAGCATTTCTGTGTTAAACGTGTAAACGAAACAAAACACAGGTCCAGGTCTGTTTGTGATGAGGAAACAACATTATAACATAGATCAGAAAATGGCGTAATATGGGCCTTTAATCTACTTGGCAAAAACGTTACATACTGTGGCTTTAACTAAAACGATGATAACATAATTTTTCTCTTAACAAACCATGATGAAATGATGAATTGTGTTAATGGTGTTTTACTTTATTTTATGGAATTTTCTGGATTGACTCTCAGGGAGGTGTGTTCATTTGGGAATTCCACTTGAGCCAAATACAACACGTGTCCTTTTAAATTGCTGGATACAAAATGATCATTACGCAAAGTTTATGTTCCGTAAACAAGCAGCGTTTTTTCTCCCCAGGCATGAAGGCTTTCACATTCTTAACCACGCGGATCACAGGGGCCCTTTTTACAACACCACAATGCAGACACATTAAAGTCAGAGCAGAATGTGGTTAGAGACAGACACTGGGCATGGCTTTGTTACGCAACAGGAAACAGTTACAGAAATGATGTGTGGTAAATTGTCATCTTATTGTGATCTGTGATGGTGTGGTTAAGTTAAAGAGCACATATTATGCCATTTTCTCATGGGTTATATTATTTTGTTTCATTCACACATGTTTAACACACAAACCCTGCATATTTAGGATGAGTTCTTCTCTCAAACTGAGAACAGTGAAGTGCTCTAGGGATGCACCAATACCGATATTGAGTATAGGCCCAATACTTCTTAATATACTCATACTTGTACTTGTTAAACATTTATCGATATCACTGTTCCACTATTACATGATACTACACAACATCACTGGTCACATTCAGGATACCACCTAACTAACTATCTAACAAACTAACCTAACCACAAAGAGTCAGAAGACACGGCTAGTCATGCGCGCAAATAATGCTCAAGCATGTGGTCGTCAGCAGTTTGGAAGTATTTTAGTATTAGGGAGGACAACAGGAGTAAGGCAGATTGCAAATTATGTAGTGCCAAGGTGTCGAGAGGTGGAAGGGAAAAACCTCCTTTAGTACGAGCAATTTCATCAAACATTTAAAGACATAGCACAGTGATAAGTACGTTGAGTTCACACAAGTCAGCACTAGCCATCAACAGCCAACTTTAACTGAAGTCTTCAAGAAGCGAGACAAAATGTCCAAAGATAGCACACAAGCAACAAAAATAATTGAGGAATTTACCCACTACACTGTGTGGGATGACCAACCACTTTCAGTCTTTGACAATATTGGGTTTCAGTGTCTAGAGCCCATTGTATGTTCATGAGAGTGCGGGTTAAAGTATCGGCATCGGTATTTGGTATCGGCAAATACAGACATGATTATACTTGTATCGGTTTTCAAGAAAGTGGTATTGGTGCATCTCTTAAGTGCTCCACTGTGCTTTTGCCAAACTCTATTCAGCTAAAGATGAAAAGTATCTCTCAATTTGAAAACTACCACTACACATCACAAGGGAGAACAGAGCATTTTGAGCTGTGGGGACAGACAGACTAATAATAAAAGGTAACTCAAACATGTATGAATGAAACAAAACTAAACTGCAGATATGTAACAACATTATAACATGGTTTAAAGCTCACAAAAGTTCATTTTGCATTATATGGGGGCTTTAAAGGTGCACTGCATAATTTCGTTCGTGGAGGGTCCGATACTTGCTGGTCTTCTAATGAACGTGTTATTGCTTTGCCTGAATGTTCCACAATCTCGCATTCAACTTTTCTGACTCCATGGAGATAAGCAGGTAATGCCACTAGACCAAGTTTCGAGTCAAATATGTGGAGAGGCAAGACCACAATCAAGTAAGAACACATGTATTTCAGTGTATATTTTCAATGCATAAAAACATACTTAAATAAATGCGGGACAGATAGGCACCCTAACCCAAGCAAATGATGGCAGTCGTGTA